TGGTCACATCTGCAAAGTTCTTGCCGCATAGAAGCTAACATTCACAAGTTGCAAGAATTAGTGTAACAAAACTTCTCTGGGAATAAAACTGTGTGTGTCCCCTTGCCCTTTGAAATTAGAGAAGTTCAGAACATGCCATCTCCAAAGCAGGCTGCTCTGGCTGGGTGAGTGTTTTGAGTTAAATCTCTCTTCAACACAACTTAAAAGCAGAGGAAATTCCCGTGTTAAAGGTATCTCTTTTTTGAAATCATTCCCTTCAAGAAGTATTTTTGCTTGACCACATCCTCACTGTTTAACGTTCTCCAACACAGTATGTAAGTGTTCAGCTACATTTCTTCAAGTCTTCATTTCCTGGTGTAGGCTCCCATCCCATGTTACAAAAGATTCCTGTATTGCACAAACCGTTTTAATTATTGACTTCTCCTGATAGTTCTCAGCCCAACCAGAACAATATCCAAGAGGATACAGATGAAAACTGCATCCTTTCAGAATCTATAGAGATTTTTAATGTGACTCAGTGGGTAGTAGAAGGCAACCATGCACAGTAGGAACAAAGCTCCACAAAGAGTGACTAGTATCAGTCACTATTTGCCTTCATTGTGTGTGTGTGTGTGTGTATACTTAAGCACATAAATACAACCTACTGAGTCCATTTAGTGTTCCATGTACATGATTTCATGGTGAGTACTTGGTATTGGATAATTAATTAGGGGGCTTGTCGTTGGGAAAGACTAATATATCCTCTCTATAGTTCTTTGTTGGTATGGGGCCTCATGCCATTTCTCCTTTCCACCTTACCATATCCATTGGTGTTATTGTTCAGGTATTATTTAGACAGCCATACTGTTAAATTAAGTTTCATGGGTGTAGCTTTCCTGTCATTCCTAGGAGACAGTTTCAAATCAGGCCCCCTGGTCCACTTGCTCTTACAGTTTTTTGTTTGTTGTTTGGCTTTTTTGTTTGTTTTGTTTATGTTCCCTGGACATTTTGTGTATGGGCTGTGTTGTACATGATTCAATTGGGACTTGGTAACCCACAATCAGTGGCTCTCCACATTTTGACCAGATGTCACTTTTTTCCTTCCCTGAGGCAAGGTTAGCCCTGGGTGTCCTGGAACTAGCTCTATAGACCAGTCTGGCATTGAAATAAGAGATCTACCTGCTAAGATTGCCTTGTCACTTATTTTTTTAAACAAATGTTTATTAAGCCCTCAGGGTTGGAGTGTTAGGCACAGAGAGCTACTAAACCATGTGATCTTGGCCCATACAAAGTTACAACACATACTGGAAAGGATAAATATTTTAAGAAAGAAACTAGCATCAAGAGAACACAAATTAACACTGCTGAGCTTGAAGAGAGGAAGAGCTGGAACCTAAATTGAGAGATCCCTACCTTGCAGCAGGCAGTGATGAATGTAATAAAGTAGATACAAAGTTATCTTCCTCTTATAAAAAAGAAGCAAATAATTTGATCTATGTATAAAATAAAAATTGGGGGAAAGGTGAGGAAATCCAGTTCAACAAGACTCAGTAGTTGGTGTTTAAACTTGCAGAGTGTAGCACCAGGCAGTTTATTTTAGGCATATTTAAGCTCAGTACAATTTTGATAAAAGTTTCCTGGTGACAATGAACTCAGTCCCATGTGCATAATAACGCTTACAGCGTGACTACATTGAAACCCTTTGCAAAGTACATGTGACCTCTTCCTTGGGTTCTATAGATTGACTACCTGTGTTACCTTAAGAGTCTAGGAGAGAATCTGGTGTGGTCTCGGTCACACAGATAGCACAGAGGACATCTGGACTATCAACCGTGTCAGGTACTGTTTGTGACAACCTGGAAGAGCCCTTGGTCATACCGATAGCACAGAAATAACTAGACTGTTAGCCACCTCTGACCCTGGTTGTGTGAGCTTGGAGGGAGCAAAGTATGACCTGACAAATAGCATAGAGGTTACCTGTACTATTAGCCACCTCCATTCTCAACCTTTTGGATGGGGGGAAAAAAAAAGGTTACATGTCTTTTCCTTTGAAAATACAATCCTGCGTGTGGTTTCTGTAGTGCTGTATTCGAGCCTAAGGACCGTTGTGCTTGTTCCCAGCACCTTTCTCCATGCCTTAGAAGAGAGTAATTGAGTCCTTACTCAGGCAGCACCCAAGCCCTGTTTGAAGCCACTATAGCTGCTGCTGTTGCTGTGAGGACTAGATAAAACCCAGTGTGAAGTTCGTAAACAGTAAAGCAAGCACTACCAAAGTGAGTAAATGTAGCTGTCACCCGTGTTTCTCTCTGCATGAAAGCAAGACATTCTTGGCAGGTCCACTGTGAAGGAAGTCCTACCATCTGAGAAGAGGGACCTCCTACTGGGACAGGGAAGCATGCACTTCCACTATACCAACTGAAACTTAGTCCAGATGTTGGTGGTGGTTTGGATCCAGCGAAATTGCGAGGTATTTGCTTTTGATTTATAAAATCTTACGGTTTCTTACATTTTCACAGGAGGTTTTAGAGAGATAAGAGGCAAGTATTAGCTATAGAAACTAGAATCTTGGCTACCCAGAACTTATTATGTCCATTCCCAGACCAACCCCATTTTGTGAAATTGGTATTATCAATTCTGTGTAACCACAGTGAGTAACTTGGCATTTGTTTCTTCATGTTATCTTTTGAGTCAGGATGGTTTGGGGAAAGTTCTGTTAACCAGTGCCACCTGAGTCAAATCAAGCAGACGCAGAGTCAGCTGACATTTATTCATTGGAATCCATCCCGTACTGTGCTCTTGGTCCATCTCTAATTCCTAGAAGGTGGGCCTTGGTCTTGCAGCATAGGAAGACAGCTTTTGATAAATTGGATAGTGATTTATTTGGTTATTTTGCATAGGAATCTTGGCAATGTCAGTGTAGGACATGTTTTCTGTGGACCTTAACCTTTTCCAGAAGACAACGCAAAGGTGGAAATCCCTCATCTCGAAATGTGAGATGACTAGAAGATTAAAATCTGAAGAATTCTCTTGAGATGTCAGAGATAGAAGGCCAGCTGTGATAACGAAGCCTTGCAATCTTGGATTCAGAACAACTCCAGAGACACAGAGCCTCCTGCCTACCTGCCTGATTCCCGTCTCTAGTCTCTTCCCGTTTGACAGACATGCAGAATTCAAGCACATACTGTCTAGTGTTTGGCTCGAGGAAATCTTCCCAGAGAAGATCAGCCGTCATAACCGCAAGAAGGACAAGAGGCTTCCAGGAGAGACAGTGCTTTGGAAAGGAAAACCTCAAGCAGGCTACAAAAAGACCAATGCGTTTATTTGGGTCCGCTAGGGGGCGCTCGTTCCTCGCAGTGGGGCGGCCGGAGGGACCCAACAGAAGGATTACCTGCTGTTTGCTCTACCCGCAAAGCAGAAGCCTATTTTATTGTGAGCCTGGAGAAGCACCGCAGAATGAAATAAACAAATAATAAATATACATGAAATAAGAAAATAAAACAGTAGCTTAACGGCAACAGGCTGTCTCACCGCTAGAGACCAAGGTGTGCTCGGTTCTGGAAACGCGTCTGGATTCACGCAAGGACCTGAAAGCCCTGATCCCCGACAGAAGCCAAAGCAAGAGGAAGGGCTTGTTACCTTTATTTCTTTTTCTGTCTTTATTGGAACTATTCCACACGGAATCTGATCGAAATTGTCCTAGCCACAGACCTATTTGGATCGGGAATCTTGTTTTTTTGCAAACCCTATACTCATGAAACCAAATGAAAACTTTTTTTTACCACAATCTTTAAGACTTGCGCAGAAACCAGGGAGAAGGTCGCGTGGCTCCGTACCCCGCGCACAGATCGGGAGGAGGTCTGAGGTCAGATTAGTATTATGGTGACAATCAGAAGAGACCATCAGAACAAAGGGAATAAAAACCGACTGTGGGAAAAGCTATGTTCGCTATTAGAGAGTGAAATCCACCATTAGAGGGTGAAAGAGACACGGTACTGGTATGCCAGCAGAGTGGCGCAGCGGAAGCGTGCTGGGCCCATAACCCAGAGGTCGATGGATCGAAACCATCCTCTGCTAGGATCGTTTTGCACAAAGCACCCACACCAGAGATCAGCGGAAAAATAGGGCTGTTTTAATCAGCCCTAAAATTTACTACTTTGAACCCTTGTGGGTTCATGGTGTCGTTCCTCCCACTATCTAAACAACAGAAACCTTCAAAAGCCGCCTGAGCTGCTTCCTCATACTGTACGTACGGGTTTTAGTTGGTTAGCTGGGTGTTTTGTTTACTTGTTTAGTTTTTGGTGGAATGTAAGATTCCAGCTCACACCTGGCCTGGAAGAATTCTTTGATGCCAAGTCCATGCTATTGGCGAGCACAGAAATACAGAGTGAAACTTTCTGTATCTTTTTCCTGTTCAACACAACTAATTCTGAAAGTGAATAGAGGTTTGACAGCATCAAGTGTCTTCTGTTAGTGTCTTTTCCACCAGGGTTCAGCATTACGTCAAGGCTACAAACCGTGGCCTTTTCCACGAACCTGCGTTTGGCCACCAGGAGGCACTGATGGAACCCAGAGATGACAACTCGGTCCCCAAGGCCGGCTGCTGCCTTTCCCCATTGATAGCTCACAATCCCCTCTGGCCTACCTGTCCAATTCCATCCGTGCCATTGTGTCGTGTGCACTCTCGAGCCCAACCACCCCTACCCTCCCCAAATATCCTGTAAGATTCAATTGCCCAGAGTTGCTCCCAGCTCAGCTTCCTGGCATGCAAACGGATGCGCTTTCAGGTCCTGGCTGGGTGCTGGACATCGAGCCCCACTGAGCTCTTGCCCCGTCGCCCTGGAGAAAGCCAATGCAGCACACAGCGCGCAGACCCCAGGGCCGGCTGACACGGTTACCGAGGCCCGCGTGTCACCAGCTAACTGGCATCCTCGCGCTTTTCTTACACGCGTGGCCCAACCGTCACTAGAGCAGCGGATGCTTGGATTCGGCCACCTCCTCCGACGTCCGAAACACCAGAAGTGACTGCCCGCCCGTGCCTCTCCGAATGGGCAGCTACCTGGGCAAAGCAGGGTCATCGCCGCGGTCCCCAGTACAGGGGCGCGCAGATGCATGGGAGAAGCCTGCGACCCACCGACCGGCTAGACCCCTCTACCAGGTCCACCGGGTGCAGCATGTCCACCGCGCCCAGCCCGCCAGGCGACACAGGCCGGTCCGGAGGCCGCCAAACTGGGATCCAGCCAATCCTGCTGCCTTCGTCAGTGAAGCCTGGAGGCGCTTTCCCATGAAGAGGCCGCAGAACCGCATCATGGGCTCTCTTCCTTCAGACTGGTGGGAAAGCTACCTCAAGCGTAACATTTGGTCTCTTCGTCACCCTAGGACTACATGGAGTCCAGTGACAGTCAAGATCTCGCCTCCTGAGGGGAGGCCACGGCCCTTGTTCTCAGCCTCAAAAGCGGTAAATGCGGGACCCTCAGAGGAGCCACCAGGCATGTGTGGGAAAGACCCGGTGCTGAGGGCCCTCCTCGAGTGCAGGAAAGGGAAAGCTAGGTGGGAAGAACCACTGTTCTCTGACAGCTCGGACAGTAAAAGGAATTCCACCACCCCTTGGTCCGCCTTTAAGCCCCTTTTGAAAAGTGGGGCCACTGTTACATTTGTGGCCAGGCCTGGGTCTCTGAAACGCAGCTTCTACGCCCAGAGCTCAGATCATAAATGTAAGAAGTCCAGTTGCTCCTCCGTGGCCCTCTTGGCCAACATATGCACACACGGTCCCCCCAGCACTAAAAGAAATGCTATTACCAGCTCTTACAGTTCTTCCAGATATCTCTCAGAGTCCTGGAAGAGACATTTCTCCAGGACATCGGTCCAGACTCCAGAATGGCCACTGAGAAAGACAGGGAAAAGTCCTAATTCTCACCCCTTAGTTTCTCCCCGCCACTCTGGGCAGCCGAATGGGGAGATTCCTTCACTGCAGTCTGGTCCTAGGGAGCTGCTGACCGCACCATGCCAGCAAGACGGTGCTGTCACTGAAGAGGACCCGACCTTAGAGAGGCAAGCTGGGCCAAGCAACCAAACCACAGAAGCTACAACTGGGACCGTCACGGAAGCCATTCCTGAGACCAGGACTGGTATTCCGCCTCCCTTGTCTCTCAGTCGTCCTTCTTCTGAGTCAGTACTCAGTAACCATATGAGCCCTCAGCTGGAAAGCTCAAAGAACATGCCTGTCTCACATGGGTGCTCAGAGGTAGAGCACCTTCAAGGCATCTCTTCAGACTCAAAACCCTCACCTGCTTCCATCCAGGTGACTCCAAGCTTTCTCACATCAACCTATCACTGACTCCAACTGGCCATCTACAATCCCTCAGGCTTACAGGTCTGCAGTGCCCCCACACGCCTCTGATTATCCCCACTGCACCCACCACACCAAACACTCTGCTTGGGGTGGTGAGTAGTCCAGTTCTCCATCTTCCTGCATCTGTACTTCCTGTGGAGACTTCTGCAGTAAGACCTGTTTGGGTGTCTGGGCAGAGTAGTGAGGTCAGAGACTGCTCAGATTGCAGAATTTCTATCATGGCTGGGGCATCATCAAGCTCTTCTCTCTGCACAACTCCAAGCATCTTAAGGCCCACCTTCAAGCCTATCTTTGGCAGTACAGAACCACTTAAAAATATGCCTGTGACATCACCTGTGCCTACCTACTTCACTGACTTCTGCTTCTGGCTATTTCTTCCATGGCCTGGCCACAGCCTCCCCTATGGTTCCATCTGCTATTCCAGCCAGCACATCCAAAGACCCTGGTATGGACTTGAACATAGTAACTAGCATCACCGGCAACTCTTACTCTGTCCCTTCTTGCCACACTTTCCTCCTTGGGGCTTCCCAGGGCTTTTCCCCGGCCCCTGATATAATTTTCCCATGCCAGCACCCTGCAATTTCTACTGTATACACAGTCACTATCTTTAGCCAGGTTCTTAGAAGTGCCATCCAGATATCCCCTCTTAGAAGCACCGCTAAGCTGAAAGGGGGGAGCAGGCCCCTGCCAACTTTAGGGTTATCATCCACAAACCAGCCTACAGTGACCTCAGCACTCACAGCATCTTTGGGGGTCAAGCCCAAAGTCACCTTTTCCACCATCCCAAAGATGTACTTTCCAGTCTTCACCTAGGGCCACAGATGGGTAGAAGCAGTGTTCTCTCCAACTAGTGCCTGTCCCAAGCTTTAGTGCCGCTTTCCTTTCAGGAAATTCAGTTGTGTCCCCAGTCCAGATGCTACCTCCTACTCAAATGGTCCTCAGAAAGACTACCCCACCATCTTCAGCCTCCATTATTCACACTCCCACCAGCATCCAGTCAGGTTTCAGTAGTAGTTTAACTGGTTTCATTCAGTGAAGCTAGCTCAACCACCCTTGGAGTTGTCAGACAGAACCAGCAGAGTGGGGCCTACAGCTTAGCATTCAGCAGTATAGCACCGAGACCTTTTGCTTTGGGAGGATCCGTGACCCCTATGGACTGTGGGGAGCCTGAGGTCATTGTGGCTGTCCCACAAAGGATCCATGTCTGGTTCAAGAAAGAGTGAGATCCCAAGCACCCTAGCCCCCTTTGTACAGTGCTGGAACCAGAGCATGCAGGGTCTGCCTAGCCAGATCACACCTTTGACCAGTGTCACTGCAAGAAAGACCATGTCTGGGGCCCCATCTCTGGTCTCTTTTGCTCAGAGTACCCCTATACCTGGAGCAATTAAGGCGGGTAGCAGTCTTGGCTTTGGAATGTCCTCTCCATCTGTGCAGGGTTCTGTGGGGAGAGACCCTTTTAGATCATGGGCACCTCATTCTGTATTGGCACAAGATCAAAAATCCCAAGGAATCGGGAGCCAGGTGCTCCCGAAGACATCACACAAGAAATGGCCCCTTTTCCCTGTCACATTGCAGTGAAAAGCCTCAATCTCTCCAATTCTCTAGACCAAACACATCCCAGATCAAAAGTGAACGCTCTAGGTGCTGTTGTGGGTCCTAATCTGTCTTCCAAAGAAGTAGACCACCAAGTATCATCTAGTGCTGGTAGGGAATGGGGCTGCATGGGTCGGAGGCCCATCCATTCCTCCCTGTACAACTGTGAGCCCCACAAGGGCACAGCCTCCCATTTGGGGAGGAGCCAAAGCAAGAAAATAACAAGCATCTTCGGGAGGAGATAGATAGGTCGATCCTACACCTTAGCCTCAATTTATCTGGGCTCTAAGAGGAGCTTGGCTGTCTAATGCCATAGAGCCACCAAGTTCTCAGTTCTCACTGCTTGTACTGGTTTTTTGGGAGTGTTTGGGTGTGATCTGACCTGTGTTTAGTCTACTCTTGGCAATCAAGGTCATCTCTGAGGGTTCCCTTGTGTGTTGCTGTCTGCACCACTTTATCTTTAAAGTTGCCCCAGTCATCGCACGAGTTGGCAATGGTTTAGCCCCATTCTTCTTTTGGTTAATTTTCCGTACAAGACTGACTAGTCAAGATTTAGCCTGTCAGACCTGAAAGGTCATTCCTCAGTCTGGGAAAGGGGGGCTCTTGGCTTGTTCCCTCCAGTATCAAAGCGGGCCAATCCCTCTTTACAATCTACCAGCTTTTCCACTTGCTGTCCTCTGCTTGGTGTGATGGAGACTTGCTCTTCTTACTCTGTTGGTTTCTGGTGTGTATGCTTTCAGTTGGATTTGGAGGAAGAACAACCTGTCTTTGAGTGGCAGGAAGTTAGCAAAGACAAATTTCAATTATGTAAATGCATCTGCAGCTTGGTGGATGGGACCAGTCAAACAGCACTGATTCAGGGCTGCAAAGGGGTGACTCACCCTAAATGCACAGCAGCAGTTTGACCTTGAAGGATGGTTTCTCAGTATGTGGGAAAGCAGAGGAGATGGCCAGGGTGCCCAAGTAGGGAGACCAAAGCTTACATTTCATTTTTATTTCTTTTATTTGTGCCTCATCAAATCAACCCTTTCTGAATTCACGTATTTCTCAGAGAGGGTCACTAGGTCGTGAAGCCCAAAACCAAAGCATAAGAAAGAGAGAACAGCAGGTACCTAGCAGACTGCAGTTGTCAAGCCAATGGGGAATACACGAGTAAGCTGGTTATCACCCTTAGGGTTTCTTAGCAACCTCACACACTAAGGCATATAGGATTCTTGGGTACATGTATTACATATTTTACAGATACCTTGGAGAAAGTCTAATTGGAAAAATAACCTTAAATTAATAAAATAAAAATAACATTGTTGAAAAAAAGTCTATGATATAGGAATTACTGTCAAGCTCATATAGATAATGGAGCAGAAAAACTAACAAATTGGCCTGAAGTCATTCAGCAAAGACTAGGCTTAAGCCCTAGTGACTGTAGAATGTGCTTATTTCTCACACTCTAATCACTCAAGTCACAAATGCCTAAGTATCTGTGCTGGTTGGCATTTATTTGTTTATTAATTATTTGTGTATCTGTGAGATATTGAGGCTTGAGTCCAGAATTTCACAAATGCTAGGCGAGTGTTCTACCACTTAACTGCATCCTCAGTTCTGTTCCAACTTTAAAGGGGGTTTTATTACTGCATTGTGTGCGCCTGCACATGTGTGCCATGGCATGTGTCAAGGTCAGGGGATTTCCTTGGTGAGCTTCTTCCCTCCCTCAACCACATGGGTTCTAGGTTTTAGGGACTGAGCTCCTGTCACCCGGCTTGTGTCACAAGCTCTCAGACTCACTGAATCTTCTCAGTGGTCCATTTTCAATTTTTAAAGATGTTCCCAAGATTGCTATCTTATCAAGCAGTGACAGAAAGAAAGTGTTAGGCACTACCTAATTTTTTTTGCAGTGTACAGGGATAGTTGTATGCCTTGCATAGTCCTCTGTACTGGTCACTTCAGTCAGCAAGAACAATTCCTATTTAGGAGAATCACCATTTAGTGTGGAATGTTAACTAGCCAATGAGCCTAACACAAGGGACAAGAGTCTAGAAATGGGAGTGGACAGAGGACTATCTTGACCAGGGCTGACTTGAGACTTGAATTCTGCCTGACAGTGCGTTTGTCATCACCAAATAGATAATCTTATTGCAGGCCAACCTCAGCCATGTGTTCAGGAAAGAAAGGAAGGTGACCAAGATGTGTTGAAGTCACTTCCAAACAGTCAGGTATAGTTATGGTGAGCAGAACCATGCAACACAATGTGGACAGTATCTTGAATACACCAGGTAGCTGTGGTTGGACCAAGCAGCATAGAAACAGGTCTATGCTTGCGCTTTAGATTACTCTGATTGTCATGTGAAGAGGGAAAGGAAAATAAAATAGGAAAAGTCTAGGGACTTGGGGGTTGTGCAAGAGACTTTTTGGGTAACAGAAACATATTAAAAATGTAAGATGGAGGGCTGGGGATGAAACAGCATGGATGAAGTACAGGGTTTTATCCCCAGTACTGCCAAACTATGTGTAGTAGCATACACCAGCAATCCCCCCAGCACTGCAGAGGTGGAGCCAGGGGATCAGAAGTTCAAGGTCATCCTTCTGAGCCTGAGATAATTGAATCCCTATCTTTGGAGTGGAGGTAGTCCACAGTGAGGCAAGCTTATGAACCAGAATTTGGGAAAAGGCTCTAATTGGAATTTCCTCAGCCTCTTAGAGTACTGATTGTTTCCTTTCTAATGCTTGTGGCTTATTAGACATCCCCAGGGAATTGAAAAGCATGAACCTTCAGCAGTTGGAAACACTCAGATACCAGATTTCAAGCGCATTCCTATCTCTTAGAGTTCAACCCACCTTTTTTCCAATATTATTTAATTTTTTTTTCACTCAGCTGGAGTATCCTGGGTTTCCTCAGGAACACATAGAATAAGGGAAAAAGAATTGGCTCAGCTGGGCTACTGTGGGTCACAACTTTAGTCCTAGCACTTGGGAGGCAGAGGCAGGGGTATCTCTGAGTTCAAGGCCAGCATGATCTACAAAGAGTTCCATCCAGGAATAGCCTGAGCTGTTGCATAGAGAAACTCTGTTAGAAGGAAGGGAGGGAGGGAAGGAGGGGGAGAGAGGAAGCAAGGAGAGAGAGAGAGAGAGAGAGAGAGAGAGAGAGAGAGAGAGAGAGAGAAGGCTCTTGAATCTTCTGGATTTGATATCCCAAAGGCTTCAATTGAGTTTCAGAAAGGTATAGAGACAATGAGATACCCAGGAAACTAGAAAGACTCTTCTGGAGGGAGAGAGCAATGAAAAGTGATCAGGGACTGGCAAGATGTCTCAGTAGGTAAAAGCACTTGCTGCCAAGCCCAATGACTTGAATTCAATTCCCAAGACCAACATTAAAAGTAGAAAACCACTGAGCATAGTGTCACATGCCTTTAATCCCAGCACTCAGAGATGCGG